CTTTTCTGCACGTCAGTGAGCTGGCCTGGTCAGGGTGACTTTCCTGGAGAAGCGAATGACTGGGAGGACATACGCGGTCAGTCTTCTTCGTGAATCGAAGATGCAAGGAAGGAGAGTAGGAACATGCATGGTCCTTTTCTTCAGGAAATGGTACTATAAAGGTGCGTGACACCGTGACAAGGAGGGAGGAGGGAGGGAGGGAGGGAGGGAGGGAGCAGCAGGTAGCTTTCCATGTGCAAATCAATCCTTTGATACGGACCTGTGTACAGTAGATATTTTTATCAAAATGTGTGTTCCCATCTATCTTATGCTTTGCTTTATCCTTTGGGCCCTCTAACCGCACCACTACTATATCGCGCCGCTGTCCTACTCTATCCTGCTGCGTTGCCCAAATAGACAAAGCTACTGTACTTCACCTTTAATTGCCTACCAAGCTTATGATATGCTGGACAAAGGGATAGTTGTATAATAGGTAAAGGTCCCGACAACATGTGTGTATGTAATATATAATATCTATAAATATATATATATACATTTGTGTATGTGTATGTGTATGTGTATGTGTATATATATACTATATAGTATACACCTGGAGACGATGGAAGGCATCTCCGATTTGGCCAACCCTCGTGTGTCTTGAGCCATCAACGGGAGGATTGTGGTTGTCCAAAAAGTGCTTTAAGATTGACTCATTTGCAAAGAAGGGAGCAGTCTGGATGGTCACGCATGGCCCTTTTCCAGGAAAAGCATGTGGTTCTGCAACACATAGCAGATCCTGGTGAAGTCAGGGACTTCCTCCACCAGATTCAAACAAAAGGAAGCTCCATCGCCAAACCTTATCATCAGATTTACTCTCTTTCCATCCCAGACCAGATCACATTGATCAACTTCCTTGTTCATCTTTGGGAGACACAAAGACTCAGAATGACTCTCCTCATCCCAGCCTTCTGCTAGGGCAAAGCCCCACTTGGTGTCCAAGACGAACCTGCAACAAGTCTTTTCCATCATGAGGGGTCTTTGGTCCATGCTCACTGGCCATGACTCGCGTGTCTTAGTCTTTGGACAGTGATGGGGAACAAAAACAAGGTACCATCCAAACCTACCTGGTCAAGGGAATGGCTTAAAACAGAGAACTGAGTCGCCTGCTTCAGTCCAATGTCATGTTTAGAAAATGGCTGGTCGATCTGAAAGAATCGCTGGGAGCACCTTCCCTGCCAAAAACGTTCCGTTCATGTGGTTCTGCTTCAGGCACAAACACCATGCACCTGATTCAAGTGTTGGATGAGCAGAAACTCAGCAGAAGTTCTGCCTGAGTCATGCCCCGTGCACCCCCCTGGATCTCATCTCCAAGCGCTGCGAACGCTACGCGGTCTTTGTTCCGGTGTTTGCAAGAGATCATGTTGACAAGGGCAGTAGTCAACAGTCAGTTTCAAACTGGATGTGACCATGCCTAATAGCCAACTTATATATAGCTAATCACAGGGGGCATGGTCAAAAGCACCTGTCCAAGCACCTGTCCATGGAACACTTTGTATTGGCCACAACAAGTAGGACTCTTCAGTGTCCAAAGAGTACTGCTCATGTGCTGTTCTTGACCACACCTTATATACACATCGGTCAAACCAGAGAGACACACAGGTGCAGTCACGCGCAGTCCTTCCTTTGAGTAAGGTCATGTAACGTAGACTGGATTAATAAAAGGGAGGTTTGTATAATCAAGAGTCTACATTACATGCATTAGCCGCTGACTTGCTTTTGCAAAAGAAGGTATTGTGTTCATTGAACTATTGAAGGCCATCTTCCCGTCCTTCCCTCCCCAGGGAAGCTTCCTCCAGCTGACTTGATTCAGGTGATAGACTTGGGAAAGATCCCAAGGAGGTGTCGTCATCCAACACTTCTCCGATGTCCAATAACCAGAGTGTCGTGTTTTTCTACATGGTTGAGGGACAGCACAGAAACGCCACAGAAACAGCGCTTGCTAGCTGGATGCTTTCAAACACCAAAACCTGTAAAGCTAAAACGGGTTGGCCGAAAAGAACCCGAAATCACCACTGGTGACTCTGGCGCACAAAGGATACTGCTCACAGGAAATTCGTCACAGTTCGTCCCACTTTGTTGGAAGACTTGCTCATGCCCTCAGCAGAAAAAAAATAGATGGTTTCTTCACTTCTTCCAGAACTCAAACCCTCTCAAGTTCATCGCAACGTCGCACAGAACTGCATGAAGAACCTGCATGTGATCTGCAAGTTTCTTCTCTCTAAGACTCCGAAAGATGCTTGAGAGACTCCTCTTTCTATATAGTTTGCCGAAAGAAAAGGGCTTGGGATGGCGGCACGCTGGCTTGGGATGGCCTTGTCTCAGAGCGTTGGCACCTGAAAAATGATCTTTCAAGTTCTTTCTATTCAGATCCATGAAAACATGTGCAAGATCATCTCCATCCACCCGTTTGGCGGAGCATGATAAACCACCAAATCGGGTAAAACTGCCCAACCCAGCTGGCCGCCATGGCCGGAGAATGATTGAAACAGCACTCGAGGACTCCGTAGCGTGCTACTACGGGGTTTCCCGCCGTTGACCAAACCAAGCGGAGGACCAACAGAAATAGCATTGACCTTGTGGGAAATTGATGATCTGAGTCTACCGTCAACCGATAATAGGATGCACTATGCTGCCATGGAGTTTGTTCTGCTGTTCCAATATTAATGTATACCTGGTAAATGTTATGTGCTTCAGTTTCTTGAAAGAAACCGTTGGGCTCAATTTGTGCTGGATCTCACATGCTCAAATTCTACTGCCTTTCGATCACCAATCCCGCTGCGATTTGCAGGCGGCACACATTTCGCCAGTATATATTTGCAGCACTTTGGACATGATCATATTGTCAACCTCTGCTGCCACGCACAGCAATGTACAGATCTTTGGGAAGCCTGCTGGGTATTTATCGCGTTCTTTGCCTGCCTGTTTTTTGGGTGCATGCTTGCTTCTTTGTTTCCTTGAGCTGCTTTGCTTCCTGCCTTGTTTTCTTCCTTGCTGCCATGTTTGCTTCCTTCTGTCACGTCCTTCTCTCGGCTTGCGCACTGGAGTGCTCCGGTGCTTCCGCTTCAGGCTCTCTGCTCAAAGCTCCTTCAAGTCTTTAAGACAAAAGTATAGAACACATTAGAAAATCATCCTTCTCAATATAACATCTAAACAAAGCATAGATTTCGACCGGATGGTGCCCCTGTGACGGAACGCTTTTCCGAGCACATCGGGCTTGGTCTGGGATTGACGGAAGGTCAAAAATTTGGATTCCTGGCTCCTTAGACTTCTTGAAGATGATGAGAAGTTCAATGAGGAACTGAAGCATCACACGGAATCTCACGTTTTACAATTCTTGCTTGGAAGTAACCAAAACTCGAATCTGGAATTCGGAAGGTTAGTAGTTGATTTGGGCCCTTTCAAAGCTTCCTTTCAGCGGATGCCAACCCTTGGGAATTGTGCTTTCGTGACTCAATTCCTGGAAGCTTTGTTGTTCGTTATTAGAGTGTCTTGAAATGAACTCTATGGACTATATATATGGCGCAGGCCTTTGGACACCTATTCGAGTCCTTTTGCCCCTTGATCACTGGTCACCCAACTTCTCCGATTTGGGATTCGGTCGGATCACTGCACCGACTCATCACAAGAAAGGCGTCCTTTCACAGCTGACCTCCCGCAGCTGTTGTCCTTTGACAATAATACATAGTAATAGTTAATGTGAACAGAAAAGGGAGAAAGGAAGGAATCATCTTGGATTGTTCCAAAATTGACAGAAGATTGAAAGGCTGGCCGGTGGCCACTTTCCTGTGTCCTGGAACCTTCTCGGGGACCTTTCCGCACGACTACAGGGTGTACCTGATAGGAAATCGGGGCGTGGGTCAAGCATTAAAAGAATCCAATCACATGGCTGTTTGTTCTCTGCAAAACTATCTCTTGCTTACGAGTCAGCCTGCTGCTTGTTGGTACAGCTTTGATATCCTCTGAATGAACTGTAAATGAGAAGCAAAACTGACTCGCTTGACCCTGAACCCTTGATCTATTCCATCTACCATAAGGGACAGCAAACCTACCTCTCCGGCTGCACTTTCGACCTACTGTATGCTACAATTCAGTCTATTCACCCTCACCTATCCACCAAACTATCCATCCACCCATCCATCCACCCATCCATCCATCAATCTATCTAGTCTATCGAATGTATCTGTTGATTGAGACTATCTATTGAATCTCTCTCTGTCTCTCTGTCTGTCCCTCTCTTTGTTTCTCTGTGTATCCATCCATCAGTCCGTCCGATTGTTCGTTGGTCTGTCTGTCTAATCTATCCTTATAGAAACTAATCTACTGTAATCTAATCTCATCTATCTCATCTCATCCCATCGAATCTACTCCAATCTAATCTCACTTAGTTCTCTATCTCTGTATCAGTCTCTACATCAATCTCTCTGTCTCTGTTACTCTCTCTCTTTCTCTCTATCACTCTCTTTCTGCCTGCCTGTATGTCTATCCATCCCCGACTCCCATCTTTTTGTTTGTTGATACATGAACTGAAAAAGAATAGGCTGAGAACGGTATCGTCTTTCTGCTGGTGGCATGGACAGAGTGCATCAGAGCGTTAGCTATTTTAGCTATTGAATCTGATAGAACCTAATTTAGTCAAAGCAATTCTGATCTATCTAACCTGCCTCATTTACCAAATCCACTGTCCTATCCAATCTATGCCATCTATCTCTTCGCGAATCTATGTCATCATGAACCTAAGGTATCTGGCAAAACTTCCACGTTGATGCTGATATCCAGTTTGGGGCATCACGTGCAGACCTTGAGAAGTAGATCATCTTCGTGCAGGCGGCCAAAGCCCTGCTCGGGCAGTGACCCAGAGCAGATGCTCAGGCACTGGGAGAAACCATCAGCCGCGGCAACCCCCAAACCCTCCACGCTGTTGCAAGGTTCCCCCAAACTCGAGCTTTTGATCAAGTCGGAGAAAACCTCCAATCCTTGAATCTGGGGATCAATATGGATCAACGGACTTCATGGAATCCTCGCGGTGTCCATTTCGGAGAAAAATCTTCCTCAGACGTCCAAAGGTGGCGGAATCGTTGAGACGTCAAGACTTTTGTGGATGGTTCTCCCGGTCTATCGCCGGCTATCCCAGAACTTCAGATCTGAACTCCCTGATCGCACACGACACCTTCACGTGGTCAAAGCTGGGATGGAGACGATCCTGGGAGGACAGGTGTGGGCAAAATGATGTGCCTTTTGCGCTCATCCAACAAACCCTACTCAAACAAGGATCTAAGGATATCTAAGGCTACAATCTAAGGATTTTCGTGGCCAAAAGCTTTGCCCCAGCACGATGGATCAAATGGCTACGTCGCTCAGGTGGTTCAAGCAAGGAGTCAAACCGCTCTGCTTAGCAGCTGTTTTCAGGTCGACAAACTTCCCTCGCACGTCAACAAAGGGTGGAAAGTCACGTTCCCGACAGCAAGGACGCCTCCCCAACATAGCAACCACCCGGAAGAGGAAATCTTCCAAATTCCTCTATGCTATTTCGGTGGAGGGTCGTCTTCATCCAATCCACACCGACCCAGAATTGATCGATGTTTCACCCCAATTTCACTGGACCCATCGACGTAGGACTCGTTCGATCTACGCGCTTTTTCGACGCACAACCCGACATCGACCGATAAACGACTGACATGGTCAAGACTCCAGATAAAGTATGTCTCGAGCCACTCTGTCCAGGTGAAAGACGTACAAGGACCTGGTCTGATCTGACAAGCTCACAGTGCTGCACATGATCCGCCGCCGCAGATGCACCGGCGTGTAGAGGCCGCGATAGCCCTGCATCGCCGCCAAGACTAAGCTCTGAACAATGGAGCCTCGAAACGAGGACCGTGTGAGGGATCAGCAATTGATTCCCATGGCTGAAGGCCATCCCTATTGGGTCGGAGGCCATCGCTATTAGGTTGGAGGCCATCGCTAGTGGGTTGGAGGCCATCGCTATTAGGTTGGAGGCCATCGCTATTGGGTTGAAGGCCATCGCTAGTAGGTTGGAAGTCATCGCTATTAAGTTGGAGGCCATCGCTATTAGGTTGGAGGCCATAGCTATTAGGTTTGAGGTCATCGCTATTAGGTCGGAGGCCATTGCTATTGGGTTGAAGGCCATCGCTAGTAGGTTGGAGGCCATCGCTATTGGGTTGAAGGCCATCATCGCTATTAGGTTGGAGGCCATAGCTAGTAGGTTTGAGGCCATCGCTATTAGGTTGGAGGCCATCACTATTAGGTGGGAGACCATCGCTATTAGGTTGGAGGCCATCGCTATTAGGTTGAAGGCCATCGCTATTTGGTTGGAGGCCATCGCTATTAGGTTGGAGGCCATCGCTATTAAGTTGGAGGACATCGCTATTAGGTTGGAGGCCATCGCTGTTGGGTTTGAGGCCATCGCTATTAGGTTGGAGGCCATCACTAGTAGGTTGGAGGCCATCGCTATTAGGTTGGAGGCCATCGGTATTAGGATTGAGGTCATCGCTATTAGGTCTGAGGCCATCGCTATTGGGTTAAAGGCCATCGCTATTAGGTTTGCGGCCATCGCTATTGGGTTGGAGGCCATCGCCATTAGGTTGGAGGCCATCCCCATTGGGTTGGAGGCCATCGCTATTAGGTTTGAGGTCATCGGTATTAGGTTGGGGGTTATCGCTATTAGGTTGGAGTCCATCGCTAGTAGGTTGGAGGGCATCGCTATTAGGTTGGAGGCCATCACCATTGGGTTGGAGGCCATCCCTAGTAGGTTGGAGGCCATCGCTATTGGGTTGGAGGCCATCGCTAGCAGATTGAAGGCCATCGCTATTAGGTTGGAGGCCATTACTATTAGGTTGGAGGCCATCGCTATTAGGTTGGAGGTCATCGCTATTAGGTTGGCCATTAGGTTGGAGGCCATCGCTATTGGGTTTGAGGCCATCGCTATTAGGTTGGAGGCCATCGCTAGTAGGTTGGAGGCCATCACCATTGGGTTGGAGGCCATCGCTAGTAGGTTGGAGGCCATCGCTATTAGGTTGGAGGCCATCGCATCGCTAGTAGGTTGGAGGCCATCGCTATTAGGTTGGAGGCCATCGCTATTGGGTTGGAGGCCATCGCTATTGGGTTGGAGGCCATCGCTA